ACTCCATCTGTTCTCAAGCGAGGCCTGGTTATTCCCTCAACACAGATATTGTGCCCATTCACTGTAAAACACAAACACTCCATTGATGCATTGTTTTCTGTTTTCTTGTAAAAAAAAATTACTTTACACTGCCGGAATACAGATTTGTGCACGCACAATTTGATGCACACACAAAGACGCGTGTGCACTATCAGTGCATTTTGTTTAATCTTCTTGGTTCTTTCGGTAAAGTCACGTAGAAGGGAAATAATAAAATAATCAAAATATTACATTAAAATAAATAATAAAACATTTCCCTTCTACAGTGACTTTACCGAAAGAACCAAGAAGATGACTCCCTGCAGTCACGAAAGCTTTAAATCGAAATTTCAATGAATTTTGTTTGACCAGGTAAGAGCTTCAGAGACCAGGGTAGCATTAGTATGCCCATAGATTGCTATGTGCATAATCCCAATTGAGTAATTTTCGAGTTATTTAGAATTAGCAAATGTGAACCCTGATGCCGGCACACAAAGACCCACTCTTGCGAATGACAGTCCAGGGATCTTTCACGTTCACTGTGAAGCGGACTGCCGCGTATTGCTATGGTTGTCACACCCGTAAGTATTAATCAGGGCGGCCGCTAGGTTCCAACCGTGAACCTCTGCAGCGAGCAGCAAATGCGCTACCGCTGGGCCATGCCACCGCCCCATTCTGTCACCTTGACCACTGCAGTGGCGTCCAAACAAAACACCAGTCTCTACTCGTTGGTTCTTTCGGTAAAGTCACGTAGGTATAAATTAAATTAAATCACGACGTTTCGGGCGCAACACAAGCATCCGTCATCAGGTTGGACAACCACAGCAAGAAACAATTGCTGAAGTGGGCAGAAGGGGCTGCTATTTTATTTTCTACCTACGTGACTTTGCCGAAAGAACGAAAGAGCATGGATCCCTGGGAGTCACGAGCGCTTCAAATCTAGATTGAAACACCAGTCTCTCTCCACACGCTGAGCACCACGCAATTGCTCACGCCGGGCACGCAGCACAGCCTTGCCATGCTCCCCCCTCCACGGGCGACCACTGATTACGACTGCCAGCAGATAGCCTCCAGCACACACGCAGCAGTGAGTGCATCTGCTGCATAAAAAGAGAACTTTGCCCAGGCAAACAATAAAATAAACTTAACCAACAAGCCTCTCTTAAAAAAAACAAGAATATTATTTATATCCTGCTCCTACACCTACCCAATTGTTACAGGTAGAGTCGGGTGTTTTAAAATATGGTAAAGAGATGTTTGGTTAACTCTCAAGACCGTCAAGGGGTTAACGAACACGAGCACTTGCTGATGCAGTGACTGATGGATAGGGACGTGGTATGACCCGTGATACGAGGTCTACATGCGCCAGGTAACAGGGCTACAGTTGTTGCCCTTTTGTGTGTTTTTTCCAGACCCTGACACCACAGGCGTGGCAACATCGAAAGGAAAGAGGTACGGGGCAAAGATGATGATGATGATCTATATTAGAAGTTTTCGTGACTGCAAGTGGCCGCCCACTTCAGCAATTGTTTCTTGCCGTGGTTGTCCCACCTGATGACGGACGCTTGTGTTGCGCCCGAAACGTCGCGATTTAATTAATTTATTTTATTTTATACCTACGTGACTTGAACGAAAGGTCCAAAGAGTATGATGGTGGTGGTGATACAAAATCCGGGGCAATAACATCAAGGGCAATAATTGCAGCTCGGGCAATAACATTGGATCGAGGCCTAACACTGGACGTAACATCATCTGCACGCAATCGTGATCCGTAAACTGTCTGGGGTCAAACCGAGACGGGCGCAGCCCGTGTCACCGGGGCCCCCCACATCTGAGAAGCTCCATGGCTTCTGCGCCACTCGCCACAACGATGCTAAGGCCGCACGCCAAGCATGGAGAGCTCAGCCAGCCAGGGCCCAAAATGAGCGGCATCTTGAGAAGGCCGCTGATGAATGCAAGGGACTACAAAAGGGACAGATGCAGACCCAAATTCACCTGACTTTGGAATATGAAATAGCGTAAGTGTGGCATTATATTAGGTGATTGTTAGACAGTAGGGGGCTCTGCATAGTGTTAGGGTCAGCGTTAGAGATTAAGGGCTCTGTGTCAGTGTTAGAGAGTGGGGGGCTCTGCATCAGTGTTAGAGAGTGGGGGGGGGGGGCTCTGTGTCAGTGTTAGAGAGTGGGGGGCTCTGGGTCAGTGTTAGAGAGTGGGGGGCTCTGTGTCAGGGTCAGTGTTTGGGTATTTGAGCTACACTGCAGACTGGCTACAAAATGGTATAAAGTTTTCGAATGTCACGTGATCCTATATTATATTTCATTCTCAAAAAAATTGAGATGACATTTTAGTAACTCAATTACACCAAGGCAGCTGTGAGAACCAAACCAAACAGACGTGCGTGCAAGCTGCCTTGCTGGTCAGCCACGCGAAAACTTCAACGTCTATTTCACCCGCCGATATTTTCGACATTTTCACAGTCCGCCGTTCTGAAAGCTGATCATGTATTAAGTAGATTCATGGGGCAGGGCATCAGCGGGCCAACACCTCCTCCATTGAGGAGCAGCTGAAGGCACACCTAGCTGTGTGAAATAGCAGTGCCTCGCCGCACATGCTGATCCCAAATACGCTCGGTTGAATCGCCTACAGCAATCAATCCATTGCCCTGGCACGCGAAATGTTATTACATATTCTTAGGGTCTTTCGGTAAAGTCACGTAGATAGGTTCAAAGAAAGTAATAAAAAAACTCCGACGTTTCGATCGCAACACAGGCGGTCGTCTTCAGCGAATGTCTTTTCTTGAAGACGACCGCCTGTGTTGCGATCGAAACATCGGCGTTTTTTGTTATTTTCTTTGAACCTATCGACGTGACTTTACCGAAAGACCCAAAGAATATGAATTCCTGCAGTCGCGAAAGCTTTAAGTCAAAATGTTGTTACACGTGAACCCATGCAGCGTGTTCGCTGTAGAGGCTACACCGCAGCCAGGAGAAGTTCCATCGCCGTTCCTTTACTATGATGTCACCAAGCCGTGAAACTTCCTTGCGGTCGTACGCAGACACCCACACTCCTGTTTCAGACAGACCGTGGGTGTGGGAGCGCTAGAGCAAAGCACACCGGCATCCTTTGGCTGGTCCGCGTTGGCTCATCCGGCCCCGGGTCATCAAGTTCCCGTGGTAGGTACAGCCTTGTTTTTGTTGGGTTAGATCACGTAAATATATAAATGTGTCGTTAAAACCCGCCACCACCCGACACGGCCAACTAGTAAGGTTTGTCACTGCAAACAGAACGTGGCCAATTCGTTACGAGTACAGCACAAAAGTGTGTTGGAGAGCAACTCCACAACATTTACAATCTAAGTACTGACGTTTTGCCAGAAATTGCAACGAGCATCATCAGGCGACATCGACAAAAAGACCTGAATTATGGATGTTGGTCGCGAAAGGTGCGGCGTCTCGCGTGCCCACAAGCCGCAGTGGCACGGCATGGGTAGACACGGAACTGTGTGCCACCTTTCGCACTCGCAGGGAAACATGGGGCACGAACGAGACATCACGCACCTGCCGCGTGTGTAGGCAAGTCGACAGCACGAGCTGTGTGTGTGTGCAACGCAAGGCCGTAGGCAATGGAGTCAACATTGGGGGGGACCAAATCTTCCAGGGGGTCTGGGGGTCGCCACTCAGAAAGAAAATCTAAATTTGAAAATTAATTTCCTGACATTTCCTGCCAAAAATATTACAAAATTCATCAACACGTAAGATGGACTTTTATTTTTACAATAATGTCTAATAATGTCTAATTGTATTACATTGCTGTGTTTTTACTTTTTGACCTTTTCTTGTTTCATTGTATGTAATGGCAGAGATTAGGGATTAATAAAGTACAACCATAAACCACAACCATATCAACAGAAATCTATTTTATAGCAATACATTGGGGGGGGGGGGGGGGGCGGGTGAAATTTTGAGCATCTTTGAAGGAATTGTGGGATCTCCGTACTGAACGTGATTACGAGTCAAATCAAATCCAGCGGGCCACCCTTATCATCACCGCGGGTGTCACAACCGTAGTAATGACGACACGCCGTCTGCTTCGCTGTGGAAGTTAAAGATCCCCCGAGGTCAATTCGGCCTTTGTGTGTTCAATAAGAACTAGAACATTACGAAAATGGGATTATAGCAATAATCACCCAGTACTGGGAGACTCATTCCACAGGTCACTCGTGCAAATGAGACTATCCTACACACTCACTACTCACACTACTCACACTCACTACTCACACTACTCACACTGCACACACTCACTACTCACACTACTCACACTGCACACACTCACTACTCACACTGCACACTGCACACACTCACTACTCACACTACTCACACTCACTACTCACACTACTCACTACTCACACTACTCACACTGCACACACTCACTACTCACACTACTCACACTGCACACGTGCACGCTGCGCCCCCCTCTCGGCAACCCCCCCCCCAACCTGCCCCCCCCCAACCCGCACCCCCCCAACCCGCACCCCCCCCAACCCGCACCCCCCCAACCCACACCCCCCTCAACCCGCACCCCCCCAACCCGCACCCCCCCAACCCGCACCCCCCCCAACCCGCACCCCCCCAACCCGCACCCCCCTCAACCCGCACCCCCCCCAACCCGCACCCCCCCAACCCGCACCCCCCCAACCCGCACCCCCCCCAACCCGCACCCCCCCAACCCACACCCCCCTCAACCCGCACCCCCCCCAACCCGCACCCCCTCAACCCGCACCCCCCCAACCCGCACCCCCCCCAACCCGCACCCCCCTCAACCCGCACCCCCCCCAACCCGAACCCCCCCAACCCGCACCCCCCCAACCCGCACCCCCCCAACCCGCACCCCCCCCAACCCGCACCCCCCCAACCCGCACCCCCTCAACCCGCACCCCCCCAGCCCGCACCCCCCCCAACCCACACCCCCCTCCTCGCCCGTACCCGGAGCAAGTCGCCCGGCAGGGTGGCGAAGCCGAGCTCCGCTCCGCTTCCCAGAGCCCGGCCCAAGCCCCGCGTCCCCGGCTCCGAACTCTCCACTCCCGCCCGCCTCGCCGGAGTCGCCGGGGGTCTCTCCCCGTGCGCCCGAGGAATCTCCGCGTCCCCGGGACCCCCCCGCGCTCCCACCTGGACGCCGCTGGCGAGAGCCGCCCGGCCCCTCGCCCCCCGGCCCGCGGGGAGCCGGGCTCCGACCGTGGTCGAGGCGACTCCGCCGTGAGCCCCGGCGCGACGGACGCTCATCTCGGATGAGAAACTCGGCAGTCGCGGGGCCAAGGTGGAGCGTGAGAGCCCAACAGGTGAGGAACACCCCCCCACCCCTCCCCGCGGGGGGGGTGGGAGGGGCCCCTCCCCCCCCCACGGGGCCCCTCCCCCACCCCCCCGGGAGGCAAACTCCCCCCCCCCCCCTGCGGTGGCCCTTCCCCCACCCCCACGGGGCCCCTCCCACCCCCCCGGGGCCCCCCCACCCACACCCACCAGGTGCCCCTCCCTGAATCCCCCTCCCACCCCCCCGCAGTGGCCCCTCCCACCCCCCCGCGGTGGCCCCTCCCACCCCCCCGCGGTGGCCCCTCCCACCCCTCCGCGGTGGCCCCTCCCACCCCCCCCGCGGTGGCCCCTCCCACCCCCCCGCGGTGGCCCCTCCCACCCCCCCGCAGTGGCCCCACCCACCCCCCCGCAGTGGCCCCTCCCACCCACCCCCCCGCGGTGGCCCCTCCCACCCACCCCCCCCCGCGGTGGCCCCTCCCACCCCCCCGCAGTGGCCCCACCCACCCCCCCGCAGTGGCCCCTCCCACCCACCCCCCCCGCGGTGGCCCCTCCCACCCACCCCCGCGGTGGCCCCTCCCACCCCCCCGCAGTGGCCCCTCCCACCCCCCCGCGGTGGCCCCTCCCACCCCCCCGCGGTGGCCCCTCCCCGCCGGGCCCCTCCTCCCCACCACCACGCGTGCGACACTTTTATAACAACTTTGTTTTTAAAGTGTCACCAGTAGAATCGCGACGGCATTTGTGCTACGATAAGATCAAATGTCGCGCGTTAATAAATAACATGCTATCAATGTTGCTAGTTAGATTTAAAAATTATAGAGTAGAAATGTTTGCAAATTATATTTTATTGATTTCCACTTATATGCATTCATTAATCCCACCCACTTTGCTTGAGAAGGGCTCACAAGTGATGCCATCACAGCTCGCCCTCGATCTAAGGAACGAAACAGGAGGACTTCTCCACAAATCTTGCTCTCGCCTGATGAAGCTAGTTGTAATAACTGGCGAAACGTCGTACTTCAGATTGTAAATGTTGTGGCTTGGCTCTCCAACACACCGCTGTGGTGCTGTACTCGTGACGAATTGGCCACGTTCTGTTTACTTGACAACCCTTACTAGTTGGCTGTGTCGGGTGGTGGCGGGTTTAAAGGGCCGTCCATAAATGACGTCACGCGATGTTGGACGATTTTTGACCCCCCCCCCGTCCTCACACGGCGTCACAAAAAGGCAGACCCCCCCCCTCAAACATGACGTCACAAAGCTCTGCCCCCCCCCCCCAAAATAAAACAAGCTTCAAATCGCTTTAAACTATTGTCATTGTAGTGCGTATTTAATGTGGCGCTGCACTCTGTTGTAGGAGAAAACATTTATTAAAAAGTCTATTTAATTAAGTACAACGTGTTGTCTGTATTTATTTAAAGTTGCGCATTTGATGTGACGTCACATTTCTCACCCCCCCCCCTTCCTCGTCACACATCGTCACAAATGTCTGACCCCCCCCCCCCCCAGGTGCGTGACGTAATTCTTGGACGCCCCCTAATGGACACATTTATATATTTACGCGATCTAACCCCAAAAAAAACTTTGTTATGGATAATTTCTATGTTATCATTTTTGATTAACGCCGAGGTTTGTGAGAGCTTGGATGACTGCATCAGTCTCGACTGAATCAAATACTCCACGTTCAGAGTCAAAACAACCCAGGCAAAATGGTATTTGATATCAATTTGTCTTTTTCTAGGATGGGATGGACATTATATGGTCATGCTCTTTGGTTCTTTCGGGAAAAGTCACGTGGGTATAAAATAAAAGAAATCACGACGTTTCGATCGCAACACACAAGCGGTCGTCCATAGGCCTAAAAAAAATCATCCAGCAGTAGAACTGCGGCGATGGGCAAGCAAGCGGGGTCACATCTACAGCCTTGTTGCAGCTGCTCTCTCGCTAGTTCAGCAGTGGAACTGCTGGATGATATATTTTTCCGCCTGAGGACGAACGCTTGTGTGTTGCGATCGAAACAGTCGTGAGTTATTTTATGTTTCTACCTATAGTGTACGTGACTTTTCCCGAAAGAACCAAAGAGTATGGATTCCTGCAGTCACGAAAGCTTCAAATCAAGATGATATGGTCAATTGAAAATAACTTAAGCGAGCTTATAAGAATAGGGGTTTTTCCCCCTTTTTCTGGCAACAAAACTGAAACCTTTTTACAAGGATTCATGTCTGCATTAACCACAATACTTGCAGTCAAAATGCAATCCTCTGAATTGTCCATTATTCCAAGTGATTTGCGTAAACGAGACGTGTGTGACGTGAGGCCAAATGAGTCTTTAATTCTTCATATAAGTGTACAGCGCGTGTCAACCATCTGTGAATATCAGCATGACTGAGACATCATTAAAGGACTGAGGTCATTCAATATTGTACGCACTTAGTACAGAGCTATTCTACCGCTTTGATGATATCCAGTTATTCCATTTGCTTCAGTGAGTTTCTTTACATAGTGCAGGCAGCAGTGGTAACTCCAATTTGTACATCTGGAACACCATCCCAAAGTGCAGTAGTATGTGATGTTTTTTTCTAAATGTATCTGCATTACATTCCTCCACTCGTTCTATGATTCTGTTTCTATCAGCCACTGCGATTAATCTTGCTCTCCATGAGTGACCAGCTATGATTTACCAATACACTTTCTTTTGTGTTGCGTGAATTGCTAGCATTGTTAATTTTGACGCCTGAATTCAATCCACCGTTGTCCTCTGATTTCTGTTCACATATATAATATCCTAATGGGTGTACAGAGTTATGTGTATTCTCCTGTTTCGCTATTCCATCAATTTCGTATTTGTCAAGATACAAATCGAAGGGTCGTGGGAGTCGGGTCATTACATTTACATCAACGATAGATCGATTACCGTCATTTAAATGTATGCAATTAATATTTTAATGTAATCTCACCAATTATATCGCAATGCCGTAAGTGCAATTACGATATAACCCCGTGTAATAAGTAGATAGATACAATTACCGTTAATTAAATGTATGGAATTAATATTTTAATGTAATCTCACCAATTATATTAAATTGCAGTAAGTGCAATTACGATATAACCCCGTGAAATAAGTGCAATTATAACCCAATACATTATGTCCAATTACATAGAACCCAATGTATCTCCCCCGGTTTTGTCTACAGTTCCACAAGATTTAATTTAACTGAATTCGTGTTGCGTATGCAGCAATGGTGAAATCCAGAAGGGGTCTTTTATTCGTAGAATTCGGGTCGGAGTTCATGCTTGTAAACATGTAAATGTGCGGCCCTGCAAGCACTTGCTCATGCCACTGCTGGAGGAAAGATCTCCACTAAAGGGAGCTCTAGAGAGCCCCTCAAGCAGGTGTTTGGCCTACTCGTGAAAGAGGTGAAGGTACCCACACTAATCCCACCACACGTGACCTGCCGACCAACGGTGGTGTTCCCATTTATAGTCGTGGGTGGACAGTGGCAGGGGAATCGTGCCAGGAGGTCAAACCGACAACCCCTGGATTGTAATTCCAGCGTACTGACCATTCAGCATGGCAGCATCATTGTCCTGGCGTGCTATGGTATATTTATATTTTTTAAGATGTTTGATCGAGAAGAGACCTGATGGCTCGTTGAGACATTCGGTCTACAGGAAAGCCACCCACACGGATCCTATCTAAAGCCTGACTCCCACCACCATCCAGCCCGGAAGAATTCCCTCATCAAAACACTACACCATAGGGCCTGTTGCATTCCGACCAACACCACCTAGCCAGTGAGTTGGAGCACATACACCAAGCCCTCAGGATGAACGGATACTCGGACCGTACAATCCGCAAAGCTGCCTCCCCAGCAATGGGGAGGCAACCTTCTGAGGATCCAACCAAAACCATCACTTTGCCATACATAGCAGGAGTTACCAAAAATATTTCCAAAGTCTTAAACAAACACAGTACACAAAATCCGTGATTTAATCACATCTGTAAGGGTTGTGATTCCTGACATGCAATACCCTGGAGTTGTGGTTGTGGCAGCAGTTACATTGGGGAAACGAAACGACATATCTCGGACCGCATTCGTGAGCACAAGGCAGATCTGACCAATACCTCCAATACCAATACCTCTGCCGTTGCTGATCATTGTTTTAACGCTGTGGGCTCACACGAAGTTGTTTTTTCCAAGACGGAGGTACTCTGCAAACCTACCGGCTACCTTCAGAGATTTGTTCATGAAGCCATCCAGATATATAAACACAGACAAAACTTCAACCGAGAAGATGGGTACAAACTGAGCAATCATTGGAAGGACGTTATTAACCAGGTAAAGTCTTAACTGACTGTGATGTTTCCATCCTACCTGCCTATGTCAGCTGTTATTTCCGACTCTCTGTGTGTGTCTCTCTCCATGCCTCTCTCTTAGATCTCTCACAGTTCCTTTGGATTGCACTCTCATGCTCACATGTCCTTTGGATTGCACTCCCCTGCTCAAATGTCCTTTGAGTTGCACTCTCATGGTGCTAGTCTCTAATTAACACTGCTGTTGTGCGCATATGCGGGCATGATACTCTTATGCGGCGACGGAAGCTCATTCATGCTCATCTCCCTCTCTAATCCCTCCCTCCCTAATCCCCCCCATTAACACAACTGATGTGCTTGCATCCGGGGGTGGAATTCCTTTCCAGCTCAGACCCCGCTTGCTTGCCCATCGCCACATCTATAACGTCCTTGTTGGAGCTGCTCTCTCGCTAGTTCATCAGTTCCACTGCTGGATTATATTTTTTCTGCCCGAGGACGACCGCTTGTGTTGCGATCGAAACGACGTGATTTGTTTTATTTTATATCTATGTGACTTTACCGAAAGAACCAAAGAGTAACACGGTCCAACTAACTCGTGATAATTCAGAGACCGATTATATATCCAAGTTGCAGATTCACCATGTTTGCCAAAAACACAAGCCCT